TTTAAACATTGTTGGCCTAAAAAGTTGCATTGTGTAATATTATTGTTGTATTTGTTGGTAGTAAATTTGTTGATATTGGGCTTGGGTCTGGGCAAAATGGTAGATGGATCAATTTGTTGCTGGTAAACCGATGTATCCAAAGGACGAACATTTGCACGCAATTTGTTTCGAGCCGTAAATTGAGGGTTCTTTTAGATGCATTTTTGCAGAGGTTTGAGAGATTTTCTAGTTGAAAGTTGTTGTGGTGTGAATATTATTGAATGTGATATATATATATATATATATATATATATATATATATATATATATATATATATATATATTGGATAATCAAAAAGATACAATAATTACCGATTTTAAACTGTCACACACAAAAACACATCTGAAAACACACTTAAACGGCCAAAGATTCAATTTCCACCGCGTTGAAAATTCTTTGTGCGACAGGCTTACCGCACTCCTCCCTCCTGGCCGGAGTTGTATTCACTACAATGACACGTCACCGCGGTGGTGTGCGGTATATTTTGAGTTTAATCATTAAATATGATTGAATGTGTACAATATTTTATGAGTTGCCATATGGTGGAAATGGCCACATAAGTCCATGTGTTAAAATGTCAAAAATTGTTGTAGGAAATCTTAATATTATTCATTTCTATTTAATATTATTTTTTATCAACCTCATGTATTTTGAAACCATTTTGAGGTAATAATTATACATAGGTATCATCGACTTACTACCATGCTTCCTTCTATAAACAAACAAGTGTTCACAAAATTATTAGTAAATATTGTTTTTCTTATTATTTAAGTTATTTTAATTTTCAACAATGCAATACACGAGTTTTTACAGAAAATAGAAACAAATACACCAGTTTGTTACCTAGTAAAATGATATACCCTAATTAGTGAACAATTTTTTATATGACTGAAACAATTAATTAATATAAATCACGTGGCCACTAATGTATCTTTGAGCGGATCCAAACCACCAAATACCCGATTTAAAATCATTGATAACCGGACTCCGCCTTGGGCAATCCGTTTCATTACAATCGGCATCCTCGAGTTAAAGTAATTATCTGTAAATGCAATTACGAGAAAATAATAAATATTTATAGCTTAATAAAGGAATTAAATTGAATTGGATTACTAACTTAAACAAGTTTTTATTAATTTTTTTTAATTAATATGCGAAAACGAATATTCAAATTTAAAAAGAAAAAGAAAGTGGGAATATAGTTGCTATTATCACCTGAAAGAGTTTCACCAGCCTCAACACCTTTGTAACCCCATGTGCATGCCATTTTTATACTTTCCATCGCATACCTTCCATAAATCATCAACAAAAATAAATCCAATTTTTGTGAAATATAACGTATGGAACTCAAGAAGCTATTATACTTTTTTTTTTTACCATTTTTATAACGAATATGTATTTGTAACGAATTGTTTAAATAATATATAGAGCGAACTTACTTGTTTATGCAAGTAGAGAGGTCATCACAATCCTTCCAAGAAGTGACGTCTTCGGACCATAATCCCTATTAATCTCAACTTTATTATTCTTTGTTTGATTTAATTGATTAATCAAAGTAAATAATCAATTTATCACAAGATGAAAAAACTATAATAATTTTACAAAAAGAATATATAGATTTCAAACGTTATTAGTTACTTAAATGGAATAATATATTTAATCAAAATTTAAAATCCAAAGATAGAGAATTTTTACATGAGTGAAGTTGGCTTGAATGGCTTTTTGGAGAGACCCCATATCCTTCTCATAGAAATCAGCTGCAGCCGTAAGAATTATCTCTCTATCCCATACCTATTAATAATTTATTCCAAGCATAATTTATTTAAATGTGTATAATTTTATATAATAATTTTCTTATCATGGAAACACAATAATAAATAAATAATTTAATGATATGATACTTGCATGGTGCAAATTAGATTTGTGCCTGAACCATCGCAAACCAATGGTGTTTCCTCCTTCGTCGGTTGTGAATCCAACATGCATCGGCTGCTTAAATCAAATTCGTTCAAATTTAATTAAAATGATTTTTTCAAGAATTCATACATACATAAATTAAAAGGAAAATGGTATACCTGATGAATATCTCCGATGAAGTGCGATAAAAACAACAAGGCCTCAGTCATGTTATCTACATTCCCCAAATCCAAAATTAACAAAACATTATGCCTAGTACTCTTTTGCAATATATCTTGTGCACCTCTAAATTATCAATCTATATTTGTATGTGTATGGGGCTGTTTGATAAATCTGAACCATTTAATCATTCCAACCTCTACTAATTAACTCAGAGAAGGTCAAAGTTCATTAACCGTTCTGAATACTGAACGATTCAAAGGTGACCTTTGAAGTCTGAATAGTTCAATTTATAGGTTATCAAACAACATCTAAGATGGAATAATTTGTGTGAAACTTACATCGTCGATCTGAAGTCCCTTCATGATAATGCGAGAGCTGAGATGTGTAATTCTTTATGGCTCCAGCAACACACATATCCTTTCCTCCATGCGTATCATGGCAATCCCCTTGTATTTTTCATCATCACAATTATTAGATTATTTGAATAACAAACCATGTGACGTATTTATTTTATTGATCATGAAATAAGCCATGAATCATATGGTACAACTCTACAACGCAGGAGATTGAGAGGTGCAAAGAATGTTACTTGAGTAATCGAAGGAACAAGCATCATCAGGGGTGTCAATGAAGTGAAGAGGACTTGTCCATCGGTACCTGTACCAGTGTCGGATCTGATCGGGCCACACACATAATGTCGACAAGTCACCATTTGCATAATCCGGTAACAACATCCGTACAACATGGGCTGCATTTGGTACAAGCAATTCCTATTGTCCATCCACACCCAACAATCAAATAATATAATTATAAACTTATAATAAAGAAATAGTTCTAGAGAACAACTATGTAATGCATCGTACTTGGGCGATTTTGCATGTCATGATGTGTCCCTCTTTGCTCCAAGCTTGAACACCACCAAATCCATTAATCAACACAAATCCAATAAAATAAATAGACCATAATCTAAAAGACCCAATTTTCCTCATTCCGTTTAGTAGAGAAAAAGTCAAAGCAAAAGTTGATCGTGGTATGGTGATTTCGTTCATGTATATATAAACATCAAAACGAAGTCGTTGAGTGCAAGCTTATGCTTGTTCATGCTTTTAAGCACAACATAATAGAGATTTTGAGAGCCGCGCAAGCAAAGATTCGGCGGCATATTGCACGGTAGATGAGATGCCCTTTCTCCAAATAGTGGAAATCGTACCAACTTTAAAAAGTTGTTTTTTAATATATAATTTATTGATTATGATGTTTAAATTGTTATTGTAGTAGTATTTAAATAAAATGATGATGTTTAAAATGATATTATAGTATTATTTAAATTAAATAATTGTTAGATTTTCTAAGAGAAAAAGTCGTTAGTGAGTTCTATAGGGTATTAGGCGGATGGTGAGTTGTTGACGTGTGGATTTTAGTTTAAAGCCTTGTAAGAGCCGTGATGTAAACGTAAACGAATTGAATCAAGACCCGAAATAGGGTAATATAATAGATAGATGGTCAGTATTCGGGAATTTGTCTCTTTTGCGTAACATAGGAAACAATAAAAAGGTAAGATAAAATGCAGCTAATATTCTTTTTAACAAAGCTTACGTCTAAAACTTTTGTGATATGCATCACTAAATTCTAATTTTCGTTTTCAGTTTATTAGTGATTTTAATGTCATGTAATCTGGAACACCCCAATTTTCATATATAGATTATATAACAAATAATCGTTCCAACGTCTCCCAATATCAATTAAGAACTTACTTATAGATTAAACTACAGCGGAATCAAAATAAAATATAGTCTTCAACCGAAGAGCTTCGGGTGTTACGTCTTTGCGGAACTCATTTGTCGTCTTGTTCATCAATCATTCTTCCTAGCCTTCTTACTGCCACTTTTTAAATAGTTTCCTGGGTTGCGCACATTTAAAGTTTCTAAAAGGGTAAGCTTAGGGCCTAGTGAGTTCATGTTGCACATACATGTCCATCACTTAAAAAAAACAAATAGTTTTATCATATATCTTCAATAAATCATACAACAAATATATCACCCGATGACATAATTTAGGGGAACGATTAATTGTCCAGAGAAAGAACCAAATGTTTATTTCCCTTCTCCTTGAGACAACTCATCATCCATTGTACTCAAGTATTTTAAATATCCAAAGAAATGAGTATGAATCTCAATTCTCATCCCCACCGATCACACACATCCGTCATGCTCACGACGATTAAACACCCCACCCGTTCCCACTAAACATGTCACCCAAAAAACACACACACAGTAGACAACAAATCCAAAATAACAATTGCACACAACCATACTTATCATAAAACATACTGTCAATAAATAAATAAAAAACGCATAATAAACCACATGATAAACATTTATGTGCGAGCAACCACAGAACACGAAAAACTCACCTCGTTGTCGTTATGTCTTAACCGAAGCTTACCACGATACACACACCCTACATTCCACCAACAATATTTTCTAAATCTATAATCCTAGAAAAATATCCTACACGTCCGTTTTTGGTTCAACCATTCATATGTCTCGTTCGGCCATCCAATAATTATTCAATTACGTTAATTACAATTACAATGTTCGTAACAATTTTAGTAAAATATTATATCTTCTTTTTTTATTGTCGAAATTCCAATATTAATATGATTTGACTCTTAAAATTTATACTCAAAGTCAATCCATTTAAACCTCTACTTTAAAACACAAAATATCAAAAAAAACCACAATACTAAAGACTATCAAGTTATTAAAACTTTAGGGACCGTTCTTGCGATCCACATTTCCCATAAGGTGTCATACTTGAAAGAAATTTGAATTGTCAAAGTATTGATAGTTTAGGGGCCATTTATGTACCTTGAATTATATATATATATATATATATATATATATATATATATATATATAAACACTCTATTATTAATAGAAATATACAGATTACCAAACTTCAGGGATCATACATACTTATAAAGCTAACATTTTTTCTTGAATCTCATGCATTTGAAACCCTCTTTTTTAACTAATGCAACTCAAAAGTTTTCTTAATTATGATTTAACACTCAAAAGTTTTATAACTTATATTATGTTTAATTAGCATTTAGTGAAAAATTTACTATAAAAAGACCAATCTTTTGTGTTATATAAAATCTTACATGTAAGAAGGATGTCATAAGAAAATGAAAAGAAAAATTTTCAATAGGCACAATTCGTTTAGAACGTATTTGTAGTGATGGAGTCCCTTAAAGAGTTCTACAAGTCAAAGTTGTGAATGAATGTATCATTTTTTACTCATAATTTGATCGTGTTATATTTTTTCCAGTAATATAAATGAGGCCATTCAAAATCATATGTTTAGAGATATTTTGTTATCTCAAACCATACCATTCAAAATCATATGTTTAGAGATATTTTGTTTTCTCAAACCATATTGATTTGAAACCTACATAACCTTTTATATTCCTTAATTAAAACCATTTATAGTATTTATAAATTTCCAATAATTTTTTTGCATTCTCTTATTATATATGTAGTTATATTAGTACATTTTTCTTACAAAAAGTCGTCATTCGGTTGAAGATATTGTGATTCAAAAGTTTTCATATAGTTGAAGCATTCACGATCCAAATATGATGATTTAAAGAAATGGGTTATGTCGCATCGATGGTAATTGTAATATGATTTTTTGTCACACCCCCAGACCAGAACGACGGAAACGTTCGGGGGCGGAGGACGTCATGCTCATCATCATAACCATAGTGAAGAAAGTAAACACAACCATCATAAATATAATTTAAAAGGTTACATCGTTTCAA